CATAATGGCCCAAAGTGCATCTCTGTTCACAGAGTCGAAGGCTTTTGTTAGATCGATGAATGCAACATTAAGTTTAGACTGCTGCTCTTTTACTTTTTCCTGTAGTTGCCGGATGGAGAATATGGAATCGACGGTACCGCGGTTGGTGCGAAAACCCGTTTGCGATTCTGGGAGGATTTTTTCTATATGTGGGTGCAGGCGGTTTGACATAATTTTTGCAAGAATTTTTCCTCCGATAGCCAGTAGTGAAATTCCTCGGTAGTTTCCGCAGTCTGATGCACTTCCTTTGTTCTTAAATATATTCACTATATTCGCGTTGCAAAAGTCCTGAGGTACCTCTCCGCTTTCCCATATGACATCAAAGAGAGCCTTAAGATGACCAATAAGTTCTTTACTTGCACACTTATAGATTTCCGCCGGAATCGCGTCACAGCCAGGTGATTTGTTGTTTTTAAGCTGTTTTATGGAGTCCTTTATTTCCTGTTCTGTTATTGGAATGTCTAATAATTTTTAAATTTACTTAATAACTATTTAGTCAACATGTTTAATTTATGTCATTGATGACAGGTATTGATATTTTCGATTCCAAATATCTCGAGAACCATTACTCGTAGCGATTTTTACCAAGTGACCTTTTTTTACGTACACAACGCCGTAAATGTATATTTTTTTACTCAGTAGTTTTATACAGGTACGGATAAAAATATGTAGCCCTCTACAAGTAGGAGTCATAATGACATCAAAATCAAATTTCCCATATCAAAAAACCCCAAGACACCAATTTTCATCCAAATATTGACGTTACTTAATTACTTACAGAAACTATTTGGAAACAATAGAAATAAAAATTAAACTTCTACAACCTGTATCTCCGAAACTAAGCATAACTTTCTCACTTATTTATATCTGCAGAATGTGCTGCCGAAGTTTCCGGAATACAGTTCGGTCCACCTTGTATATTATAAAAAAAATACATTGTTTTTAAAAAATGTATATTTTTAAAAAACATATATTATTAACTATCTCTTTATTAGGTATAATAATCGAAGTACGAGAGAGAAAGAGAGACAGAGAGAAATACTATACAAAAGGCAAAAGAATTAATTTGAATATTGCAATTAAATTAGATTTGTCAAAAATCTTCTAATAATTAATGCTGCTAAATCGATTAACGCACGTAGGTATGTATCTTCTATTTTTAATTTACTATTATTTGCCCCAAAAAATGTGTTAACTCTAAAGAACAAAAAGAGAGATACTACCAGGGGAGATAATAAGCGTGTTCTGATAATGCATATTTACCGTGGGTATTTGACTTTAAAATTACAAATTGTTAAAGGATTATAACCACACATTACACGTGCAAGTATTTAACTAATAATTGGATCAGTTATGATCCCCTCATTATAGTTTTTTAATTATTCCATTATATTTTATGTCCCTGATCGAACAAAAAAAAACGAAAAAAAAAACGAGCTATAGATATTAGTATTAGGTAACCTTAGATAAAAAAATAAGTAACCTTTGTTTTCTTTAAATCGAACATTTAAAGGTCAAGGAAATCTCCGTAATGAAAAAATTGTCACACTCACGTGGTGTTTGATATAAGTACATGTAATATAAATTTCTGTTCAATGTTGGTAGGATATATTTAAATCAAATTAGGTCTGTGAATTTTTATTTTTTGTTTTGTTTTTAAACTCGATATAATACAGAATATAAAAGTTTAGTTTCCCATACGTTTTGATAAATATGAACGAAGTTTAACGTTTCTTTAGTATATTTTATTGTACCAAACGATAGAAAAAAAAACGGCGTCAAAGACGGCTGGGAATGACAAACAATGATAATTTTGACGAGGTCAAGCCCTCATTTACTTGGCCCGTACTATTTATTTTTTTAACGGCGCTTACTTTATTTAAAGGAAGTTTTAAAATATTTTTAGATTGAACAAAAATCAATGGTATAGTTTAAAATTAGAGAAAAACTAATTTTGGAAATAGATTTGTGTGTCTGGAAACGTTCTATCCTTTTTTAATCTTTCTATAATTAGTGTTAATTTTTGATGTGAAGTGTTATGTCAAATTTTAGTAAATGACGTCTTGAGATTGACCTCGCCAAAATTATCGACTTTCATTCCCTAGCTGTCTTTCACACTGCTTTTTATATCATACGGTTTATTTATCATTCCGTATGGTTTCTATCGCTATGTTATTCGAAGTACTAAAAACATTTTTGTAATCACAATGATCAACGACTAAAATATTAACTGTGTAAAATAGCTATCTGATCAGATTAACTAACTCATTGAAGCCAGTACATAAGTTTAAGGTTTCAATTGAATTAAGATCTAGTATTTAGATATATAATTCCTTTAAGAAGATTACTAACTGGACTAAGCTCATCGTGACTCTAAGTATTCATTCTTTTTGTTCTTTACTCTTACGTGGAGTATAAAGACTGGGCTTCAATTCTCTCCAATGGTTCGGTTTGAAATGGATTTAACATCTCGCCATGATCGGTTTAGTGTTTCGATCTTCTTTTTGTTGTTCTTTGCCACGTGTGTCTTGGACGATCAGTTCTTCTACTGCCTTGTGGGTTACACTCAAAAGCTCTGCCAGCGATGTTGTTGCCGCTTTGCCTTAATGTGTGACCAATCCACTTCCATTTCCTTAGTTTGATTTCATTATACACCTGCCTCTGGTTGGTTAATTTGATTTGAAAATTTTAAGTTTGCTATGTTGGGAGTACTGTCTAGATCTCCAAATATTGTTGAGCATTCCAAATGTTATCCTGGCCTTTCTTACTCTGTTTATATGTGATATTTTGCTCTGTGTTTCTGTTGATTGAGGTTATACTACCCAATTAAGTAGAATTATTAACCTCCTAGAGGTTCCAATGATAAAGGGAGAGACATTATTGGTACAGAGTCTCATCGATTTAGATTTTCTAATATTGATCTTAAGAACTGCAATACTAGCTTCATTTAATAAGTAGCGTAGTTTTGATGCCATATCCCCGTAACTGTAAGAAATAGATATCATTTGACAGATGATGACAGATGTCCTCCTGTATAGCCAAGGACCTCCAATGTGCACATCTCGCATGGTCTATTTTCCCAATTTTTGAAAAGTCCAACTGACAATAAATAGTCATTGTTGCAGGTGACAGACGTTACGATTTTTTCTTAGTATAAAGTTGCATTATATTAATTTAAATTATATTACATACATATTTAAAATTCAAATATTATGCCATATATGTCAGTTGCCGTTAAAATGTCATCTTTTCCACAAAAATTTTAGTTATTGTCAGAAATAATTAAATCATGTTAAAATATTAAAATTTATAAGTTATAATTAGATATTTTATATTATTTCAAAAACAAAAACATAATGGTACCGAGTAATGTTGATATGCATGTCCAAAACAAAAAGTGCCGTTATATTTTTCAGTTTTCGTTGTCAGCCGCGGAAGTTTCAGTGATTTTAGTGTTGTCGGATATTTTTATTTGTGAAATAGAAATATTGCATTTGGATTGCAAAACTAAAAGTATAAGTTTTATTGCAATGTAAGTAAGCGTTTGTCCATTGTATATTTTACTTTTTTCATACCTACGACAAATATACATAATATAATATATTGAAATTTTATAATTCGTTTTATTTAAAAAATGTTTGAAAACAAGCTTGGTATCCTGTAATTGACATAATTGTTATGTAATATATTCCATTTAAATGTAATATATTACTTACAATTAAAAAAATGTAAATTTAAAAAAAATATTAAAAATATAAACAGGCATTAATTGAAAATTTTAGTATGCGAACAAACACGAGAGGCGCTTTATTATTTACTTCCATTTCTTAACATGACAGACGAAGTTCTAAAGGGTGATGTTTTATGCCAATGTGCTAAAGGGCGTTCACCATATTCCACGATGATTCTTGAGAATTGTTCTCCTTAGAATATTATCTAAGAGGATAATAAAATGGAGACAGGGTGCATCCTGTCTTACCCCATTCCGAATGTTGATGAATTCAAACCGTTGACACTATGTCAATACAAATGAACATTGAACCTCACAATAGAGTGCCTTTATTATATTTACAATTTTATTGGGGATCCCAGCTCGACTGTTTATACGTGTTACGATATTTTTAATCAAATCAAAACAGACGCTCATTGTACTTTTCTTTTATTGGACAGATTGCATATATGTCTAGGAGTAATAAAAAATGTACTAATCAAAAGTGATTGATAATATAATTAATCCATTAATGTAATTATTAATGTAAGAAATGAATAAAGTGAATCAAAGTATTGAGAGCACAAGAATATAGATATTATAAAGAAGTGGTGGTTATGGATAAAACATGAGTCAGAAACTTATTTAAACAGAGAATATAAATATTATATTGGAAAAGATACTGCACCTTAACTGTATGAAGGATAATGCTACTCTTTTGAACACAGTAGATTCTGAAGAAAGTATGGAACTGGATTCCTGCTGGGACGCCGATCGGAGAGAAAGGTTGAGTGGTCGAATTTCCTTCGTATTCTGAGAGGTATTCGATTAGAATCATCATTTTCTGGACGAGTTTCAGGACCGCATTTTGGTGAGTTCATTCCAAACTATGTCCCCAAAGAATTAATACACAAAAATTTTCATAACCTATTAGCACGTGGTAGAGCTTTTTCATCTGCATGTTAGACCCTGAAGGAGAGCCCTCGGGCTCTCCTTTTGCACCATCTTCTCCCGTGTTGCAATCCTCTGTAAGATTAGCCGATCTGTTATCAATCACTAGTGGCGACTTGTGCGAAAGCATTAAAAGAAATTTATCTGATAGAAAACCCACCAATGAAGAACTTCAAAAATTGGAATCAGAATTATATAAATTACGAATTCGACAATATTGAAGTACAAGCCCAAATCTCACAATGCTTTTTTAATATCAGAAAAATTTACAACTATACAAATAAATATGAAATAACCAGCAATGAACGTAGGCAAGATATTATTTGAAAATAAGGTGGATGGAATCCAGGAAATTGAAAGTAAGGGTAGGAACAGAATGGGGGTCTACTTTAACTTCCCAGAAAATGCAAATAAATTCTTAGAAATTGACAATTTAATACAAAAAAATTGGAATGTTCAAATTCCATTAAGAATGACGACCTGTAGAGGCATTGTTTGGAATATGGGGGATGAAATTGAGGAAGAAGATATCGTAAATTATGGAATTGGAATCAGGGGTAACCAACAACTAAGAGTTCTGAATGCTAGGAGAATTTACAAAAGAATATATACTGGAGGATATGCTAGCAAAGTCAAAACCAATGGTTTTGTTATTACGTTTAAAGGTAATGCTATTCCGTTAGAGTTTGCTTTATATAATACAATGAACAATGTCTCACCATATAAGAATCCTGTTATATTATGCAAAAATTGCTATAGGTTTGGACATCGTGACAATCAGTGTAGGAGTAGCCCAAGATGTCAAGCCTACGGAGAAACTCACAATGAAGGGACTCAGTGTAACAAAGAGGGAGAAATTCTTTGCATCAATTGCAAGGGAAAATATGCACCAACCAGTCCATTGTGCGAAGAATTTAGCAGACAGAAGAACATCAACGAAGCAATGGCAAAACATAATATCTCATTCTACGAAGCCAACAAGCTGTTCCCCCGACAACTTGGCAAATCAAATCTTAACAGTCAGCACTTCCCAGCACTGGATACTTCTACCCCAAGGTATATAAAAAAAACATGAGTACATTTCCACTAAAAAAAAGTAGACCTCATTCTCCACCAACCAATATCAAAAAACAAAAAACCAAGCTATAGAGATATACTTTTTCCAGACTTAACAAGAATTAGTAGCAGTCCAATTATTAGAGTAAATGAAGACGAGAACAGTTCCTCCGGGATGGAAACAACAGAATTAGAAAACAACTTCAATTTTAGCCAAGAAAGCAACATATATTATGAAGAAGTCACTTATGACAATACTCAAAATAAGGGACAAAAAATAATCAAAGACTGACTTATGCGGATGGTAAGGGTACTCAAAACTTAACAGATGGTACTCCAAAGCAAAAGAAACCAAAAATATCCTCCCAAAAAAAAGTAAAATAAAAAAAAAAATTTTTCAATAATTTTTAATATTACTTACTAAAAATAAAAAAAAAATATTTCACTTAATTTTATTTCTTTTATCCTATATTTAAAATCATATTTTTTAAAAAAAAAAAAAAAAACTATTTATATTATCTTTCTCCTTTTAGTGTATTCGTATAATTACTTTATTTTTATTTTTCAAAAAATTACTTTTCACCAACTTTCACAAAAAAATTAAGGTATCCTTTCGTACCGCACATAAAAATCTAAAATCTCTTGTGTTTATATGATTAAATTTTAATATATATAGAGACATCGCGCACGTCGAGCCCCATAATTATAGAGACACTTCAAGATGAAATATAATTAAGGATCAAGCGCCTACCATTAATAGGGTTAACATGATAACTTGGCGTCAAAAATGCAATTCAGTTTTAAATAGTAGGGGATGCTGTGTGCCCCGTATTAAGCGACTGGTGGATAGGGAGAATGGGATCGAAGAGAGAGAGATCACTCAGGCGCTGTATAGATATAAATTACTTAACATAGCATATATATATAATTAATTAATTTCTGTATAATCACATTTCCGATAAAATCTTCAGATCTAATTAATTGATACTGAACAATTTGTTTATCATCTCTTTTAATTTATAATTCCTCCCAGATGTGTCAGTTGCCAAAAAAAGTTTCACTTTAATCATCTGCAGCCTGTCCGTAGTTGTAAAAACCTACTTAATACATTGGGCCCGATTTTCCCAAACGCGCAAAACAAGATCTGGGGGTCGGGAATTAATAACAGGAATGGTTTTTTGGTGGCTGACATTCTGGAGGATCACGGTTTGAATTTTCTGAACAACGGAGAGGCAACTAGAATCACACCCCCTAATCAAAACAAAAGTGTACCAGATCTTATATTTGGAACTAGCAAATTTCTCAGAACCTTTTCATTTAACATAATGCATAATTATATTGAAATGAGTGATCACTTTCCCGTATTATGTACTTCGTTATCCAATAATGAACCGGAGTTTATCACTAGAACAAAGTTTAACACAAAAAAGCAATTGGGGTAAATACTTATGATAATGCTGTTTACTGTTCGGAACATCGAACTAAATCAATGAGCACTGCATAACAAAAGCATATCATAACGCAGCTTAATAAGGGCTATTCCTCTGTTTTAAGAAGGAAATACAAGGGATCTTCCTGGGTAGACACATGATTTTAAAGATGGCTGGCAGGATGAAAGTGTGAAGCTATTTAGAAATTTTCAAAAAAAAATTTAATCAAGAAGAAATTATCACTATTCGCAAACATTAGAGATGCTAAGTATCGTCGCAAAATATTGAGGGAAAAGAGACATTTCTCAAAATTCTGTAGCAGCCTGAATCCTCTTACTCCGATAAATAAAGCATTTATGGCTAAATCTGAAGATGATTTTACTAAGTTCTTTGGTCATCTATTTTCAGTAAGAATTAACCCTTAAAATAGTTTCAATTGCCCAAGAAATGTTTGACCTTCTAACAGCCCCGGTTGTTCCAGTGGATCTTCCTCAATTAAATTTCATAAAATTAAAAGCGAACCAATAACTTTTCAGGAATTCATGACTTCATTGGAAAGAAAGTCGAGGGAATCTTCTCCGGGAACCGATCAGAAGTTTTCCTAATATGTGAGAAATCTCCCCGTCTCCATCAGGACAGGATTCTTCATATCTTATTAACAGGTTCTAGTCAGTCGATCGACTGGGTCAGGAGCAATGGAAAACAAGTTATTTGGTCAACCAAACCGCCAAGATCCTGAATTGTGTACAGTTTCCGTCCAATGCCGTTTATCTTTTGGTGAGAAAAATATTGGAAACATCTGTAAAAAACAAGTGGCATGGTTGCTGGAAAATAGAAGCATTATTAGTTGATACCAATATTGGTTCGTAGGAGAAAAGGCAGTCGCAGACGCCCAGCTATTTTGTCAGCCCAATATCTGCAGCAATGCGAGATAATAAAATAGTTATTGTCTGTTTAGATATGAAAGGAGCATATGATAATGTTAACATAGATTTGTTGGTGGGGGTAAAATTGGTAACTTTGGGTTGGAGAGGACTTATGCTGTATATTAGGGATAATATTCCGTATAATAGAAAGTTTTTTATTACGCTAATTAATATAGACTGTTAGGCCCAGAATTTGTGGGAAAAGGGGTGGCTCAGGGTTCTCCTTTGGCTCCTACTCTGTTTAACTATTTATCGTTTAATGATAATTAGCGATCAACCTCCCATAAAGACGGTCAAATTTAATTCAATATGCAGATGACATTGACTACTACGTAGTTGGCAGGAAAAACGTCATAGAAACAATGTGTGGAAAGTACTAATGATACACTTAAGGAGTTTGGACAGACTTGGTCCTATTTGCACAGCATAGCGTTCCAGCCTCAAAAATCTTCTTGCCTATTGATTCAAAGGAGGAATAAAATGGTACAACTCCCAGTAATTAAACTTCAAGATGAAATAATAAACTGGGTAGAGAAAATTAGATATTTAGGAATTATTTTAGATAAACGGTGTTCAATGGATTCCACAGGTAGAAGCAATGTGTGTTAAAGCAAATAAAGCTATTAACATAATGAAATTTTTCTGCAAAACATGGTGGGGAGGCCACCCTCTCACAATGCAAAACTTTTACAAGGCCTATGTTAGATCTCACTTGGACTACGGGAGTTTAATTTTACTAAACTGTACAAAGAACACGTTGGCTAAACTAGATAGGGTTCAATTTCAGGGTTTAAGGGTTTGTTTAGGCTTAATGCGGAGCTCTCCCACCAATATAATTCTCTCAGAGGCAGCAGAATGCCCTCTGGACATAAGACGCAATTTTTTGGGGACAAAATTCTTATTAAAATCATTTTCTTCATACGAGAATCCAGTAATAAATGAAGTTTCAAGGGCATATGGGGCCTATAATCAGACCTATCATTTTTGGTCTAAATATCATACACCTCCTCTAATAGAAGCCATTGATCAAATATTTCCCCTAGTTCAGGATATTGATGTGGAAAATACTCATCACTTATAGAAGTTTTTTCATCAAAGTCATCATTTCAAGTTTTCAACAGATCATTCTCATAGGAGAATGATCTGTTCTTTAGCAAAAAAAAGTTTGTGAAGTTGAAACTTGAGAAACACGTAAATAATAAAATTAAATTTAATGAAATAATATCACAACATTATGGAAATAAAATTAAAATCTACACAGATGCCTCAAAGGAGGTAAATAAGGGAGTGGGTATCGGTTTGTTTTCTGCAGATTTGAAAATGCAATCAACCTTCATGATCTCTAATCACGCCTCAATATACACAGGTGAAATGTTAGCTATCATGAAGGCACTATCATAATCAGTCATAATCAGTGATAGTCAGAGTGCTCTTACGGCTTTAAACAGTCGACCATCTTTCAAAGATACACATATTACTTTTCTGGTTAAGCAAAAGTTGATGAATTTGGAAAGATTAGATTATTCCATTTCACTAGTATGGTTACCAAGCCATACCTGTATATACGGTAACGACAGAGCTGATTCATTAGCAAATATAGGAAGAACGAACGGTCAGAGTGTTCAGTTCAAATGCTGGCATAGCGATTTCATCCCGGAGTTGAAAGAAAAATTTTGGAATGTATGGAAGGATAGATGGAAGGAGGTTTCTAGGGTCAAGGGAAGACTGTATTCAGAACTCGTGCCATGTCCATACAAAAATCCTTGGTTCAAGGAATTCCCACAGCTTACAAGGAGAAAAATAAGTTAATTTGTCAGATCAAGAAGCGGACACTGTATGGTCCCAGTACATCTTCACAGGACAGGAGTAAAAGAAGACAAATTTTGTGAATGCGGAGAGATTGGTACATTGAATCATATTTTCTTTGAATGCAATAGATTTATGGCACAATCCTCAGTATTGTATAACTCACTTACTATACATTTTGGCTTTGCTCCTCATAACATTTCTTCAGTTATGCATGTTCATCCAACCATTTTGTTTGCTTTTGCTAAGTTTTTAGAAGATTCTGGTATTAAGTTATAAAGAAATGATCTCTAATAGATAACATTCTGTTTACAGTCGATTTCCTGATTCATTGGTCATTAACCATCCCAAAAAACGAACGAGGAATGGGCCCGCCCAGACTTGCTTAACGCAATCCTCGTTTGCTTCCCGACCACTCAACTAAGGATAGATATTCTATCACCCGGCCGGATAGTCCTGGAGCTGTGGCCGTAAAACAAAACTACATACATAACTGGATTCCTAACCTACTAAAGAAATAAACCCGGAAGAAATGGATACGAAATATACATATAGAAATGGAAAAATGGGGATTACAAGAGAGTAACTGCAATGATAAGGACTTTTAGGATTCAATAAGATACAATAAAGCTGCTAGATAAGGCTTAAATGAAATAAACAAAAAGAGTTGCGATGCTTAGAGTAGTGAATATATTTTCCCCCTTTTTAATCTTATAAGTTTTCGTTTCATTTCAAAAATATACTGAAAGTTCACATATTGGAAAATATACTGCACCTTAACTGTATGAAGGATAATGTGTATAGCTACTCTTTTGAACACAGTAGATTCTGAAGAAAGTATGGAACTGGATTCCTACCTAAAGAAATAAACCCGGAAGAAATGGATACGAAATATACATATAGAAATGAAAAAATGGGGATTACAAGAGAGTAACTGCAATGATAAGGACTTTTAGGATTCAATAAAATTCAATAAAGCAGCTAGATATGGCTTAAATGAAATAAATAAAAAGAGTTGCAATGCTTGGATTAGTGAATATATTCCCCCCTTTTTTAATCATATAAGTTTTTGTTTCATTTCAAAAATATACTGAAGAGTCATAACAGTGTAGCAATACAAATAGAACAAATTTAAGCTAAATTACAGAAGCGGATTGTTATTCACTCCAACTGATATGTAAGTTTCATAAGGTTCAA